TTTTAAAAAATCATTAAATCTGTTAAAACATCAAAAAATATTGATCCAATATTCTGTGTGGGAAAGAAAAGGTTAATCACTGATTATCTGCCCTCAAACTTCCAGAGTTATTGTAAGTAATAGTAAGTAGTCAACACAGAGAAGTAAAATTGAACCTCAGTAGTATGTCACTCTACTTACTTGGATTTTCATTTTTATAAGAAGAGCGTTCACTTCCCTTAACCAGTAATAAACTATATATGAATACACGTATGTATGTATGTATGTATGTATGTATGTATGTGTAGTTGGTGCTGACACAGTTCTGGTGCAATTGATTAATTAGGATATGTTCTATTATGTATTTGGAATGTTTATCCTATTAGTATGATGAACTTGGGTTATAAAAGCAGAATTAGAAACAGTTCTTCACAGTTTTTCTTTGCTAATTAAGAGAACACCTTCTTGAGTCACCCTCATTTAATTTTTCTAGTGAACATGTTCTGATCTTCAGTTGTGTCCAAAATTCTCTTGGCTCAAAACCAGTTTTTGGTTTTTGGGTTTTGTTTTGTTTTTTTTTTTTGTACTGGGGATCGAACTCAGGACCTTGCGCTTGCCAGGCACTCATTTATGCTGCTGAGCTATTACCCCAGCCCATAACCAGCTTATTTTAAGGTAGTTTCATTACACATGTAACTCGCTATACAACCTGAGAGCAGGAAATGTAAATAGATGTACTGCTCAGATAAGTGTTCCAGAGACATTTGGCCAAAAGCAGTAAGATAGAAAGCGAGGATGCGGCCAGGAAGGGGACCCCGCCTACCAGGTTGCGGGAGCAGAATTGCAGATTCTTTTTAAAAGTTCTATGCTGAGCTGAATGCTACAGAGTTTCAATGTATGAAAGATAGTTATCAAGAACAGAATTCACTGTATATTTAAAATTCACCATTGATATCCATAGTATGCATCCACTTATAATGATCTAGATTATGTGAATTTATGTAAAAAGACAAAAATAAATTCTAGGTACCGTGTGCTGGCAGTCACCTTAAAACCCCCAGGTTTTACAGTGGAATCAGCAGTCAGTGATACAATAGGATGTGATAAAAGGTGGCTGCTAGGCGACACTCTGGCTAAATTAAAGGGCCTCACTTCTAGACTGAAGCAGGACTTTACCAAGGAGTAAACAGTCCTTCCCCCAGTGCTCCTGCAGTCGCACGCTGCTCCTCTTTTCCCAGTGTTAATGTCTGGTCCCCACCACCTAACGTTGGCTGCGGGGAGCGCAGTAGGGACTGATGCTGTTTCCCAGGAATCTTCACAGGTTTATTGTTCTGTGTAATGGGAAAAGTTCACGTGTGATGTTTGGGATTAATAAGTGGCTGGTGTGAAGAGAGCAGCATGTGTCTGTGAATCGAGTGTGGTTTTATTTGCAATGAAATCTAAATCGCTTGTCTTGTAGTAGTATTTTCTCGCTCTATATTTTATCTTTTCTTAAATTCATTATTCCAAATAGTGGCATTAAATAAGTTAAACACGTTTAGATTGAAAATGTTTGACTTAAACACAAACACATCAGTCCAGAAACCATGATAAATAAGATTCGTTGTCTGGAATTACCAAATTAACTTTTAACATAATGGTCCAGAAGAGAGCAGACATTTATATGTGTAGTTTTTAAAAAAAAAAAAATCTACTGATCATGTTTAAGTGTATTTACATATAGATTTTAATATTTGTAAATTACCTCATTGTTTTTAGATTCTTTTTTAAAAAAGATTTATTCGGTACAGGGTCTCACAACACAGCTCAGACTTGTGAATCCCCTATCACAGCCTCCCCAGTACTGGGATTAAAGGTGTGCACCCCCACACCCAATTTCAGTGGCCAGCAAGGTACACCTGGGGTTCCAGGGCCGGCACAGTGTGCAGTACTGGGGATCGAATCTGGTTCCTTGCGCTTGCCAGGCGGGTGCTTAGACCGCCAAGCTATGTTCTGGGCCCTCAGATTCTTTTTAAGCAGGAAATAATTCAAATTCTTCTTATTGTCAAATGCAGTGAGAAATACAATTCTATAAAAACAACATTTTAAAAAAGCATTCAATTTGATATTTATCATAATACAAAAAGATTTTTCTTTACTTACCACTAATGTATTATAGGTGTTTTTTTAAAAAAAAAATGTTTTGTATTCTTACTGTCTCTTATCACCTTGTATGAGATTATAAAGGCTGGTGATTGTCATTCCTCATACTGCTGTGTGTTAAGCTGGCAAGAGTAGAATGCTTTAATGTCACTGCTTTTTTAGACATTGTGTTGTATTAGTGTGCCACATTTTCTGGGTGACTTTGAAAGACAGAGCCAAACAAACAAAAGTCTGTGTGAAATAGGAATTGCTGATTTGTTACGCATGTGTTTTTTCTTCATAAAAATGGCATGTTATCTTTTAGGGGTCTCAAGCAGTTTGAAAGAAGTTCCTCATACTCAAAAAAAAAAAAAAAAAAAAAAAAAAGTGCCACTCACCAGCAGTTTTATTTGTTCTCAAAAGATCTTCATATGGGTCAACTCATCTATTTCTCAACAGGGGAAAGTTATTTTCAATAGCAAGAATTTTTAAACCTTAGTTTTGTAAGTCCAGAGTTCTCATGTTACAGTCAGCATCTAATCATTTTCCTACCCCTGACTCTCATCTTTTCAAGGAGGAAGTCTAAAGATAGGGTCATGGGGCGGGGGCGATAGCTCAGTAGAATAAGCACTTGCCTGGTAAGCGCAGGGTCCTGAGTTTAACCCCCAATTCTGCAAAAAATAAATAAATAAAAATAAAGATAGGGACCAAAGAGCCTTCTCTTGGCTCCTCCCACGGCTTTGTAACTGTCCCTCTGTACAGCACCCCCAGCGTACTCCCCCGTGCCACTTCCTTCTCAGTTCTAGTCACAGTTTCCCCACTTTACAGACCCTGCCTGACCGCACAGAACTGTTCTCCGTCATCATGGCTGAGTGATCAGATGCCTCTGCCAGTCAGGGTACTTCCTGCTGTATCCCTGCCAGCTCTTTCATGAGTCTGGTTGACCAAAGGGGACCATCAAAAACATTTTTTCAAATACTTTGGAGGAATCAAACTCCAAGAGAGCTGCACTGTGCTCTCCCCAAGCGCTGAGCAAGCCCGCTGTGCCCACAATGTTTTATGCCTGGCCTGTCTCAGGTCCCAGGGGAGGATCGGCCTCACTGACCAGCACGTTGAAGGAAGACGCTTGTATCAGCTTCACGCTGGTGTTGCAAGTAAAGGAAAAGGAAGCTGTGGTTTGTTTGTTTGTTTGTTTGTTTGTTTGTGTGTGTGTGTGTGTGTGTTTTTAAGGGAAGAAAGTCCTTTTGATGGCAGTTCATCATTTTTAAAGTAAACTTGGCTAGAACGTCTTAGCCAGGCTGCTGTTGGACTTCCTCCCTGAAGGCGATGGTGCTTCTAAGTTGTGTTAGTTATAAGCACTCGGCTCTACTCTCTCAGGCCTCAAGGAAACAGAATGCTCAAGCACCTACCTGGGTAGTTACCAGATACTGAGGGGAAGGGGGCCCCTCCTCAGCAAACAGTCTGGTTTGGAGAGCAAGAAGCCAGAGCCCCTAGACTGAGGCAGCTGGTGAATTCTTGCCTTCTATATACTAAAGATACTGAATACAAAGAATTTTTATTTTTTACATCTTCACCATAAGCCATCATAGTTCATTCTTTAATGGCTATTCTGGAGTAGAATTTTTTTTTTCAAAATTAGCAGAATAATCCCAGCTTATTCTCTTCCTGCCTATCTGGATAGCATACCATTGGACTAGGACACAGGGCTAGAAGAGAGACCAGTCTTGGAGCTTGGCTCCAGGTCACAGCTCGGTTTTGTTTAGATTGTCTCTTCTACTCAACACGCTGAAAACCATGAAACTTAAACAATTTCCTTTGCCTTTCTTAAACTTAGAAAGGACTCTTTGTAAACTTCAGCTCCCCCACTTTGGTACTGACTGCTTTTGAAATGACAACAGTAACCTTCCCCAGGTACAACCACCAAAACCAAAAGCCAGATTCTGTCTATGAAGGATTTTGAATGCTCATGTGACAAATGTCCCTGGCTTTCCCAATAAGAGAACCTCACATAATGTTCATCACCTGCCCTTAAGCTTGCTCGCTTGGTAGCTGGCTTTTTTCATGTTTATTTTTGGAGTACAAGCATTTCATATTTTTTTCTGAAGTCATACCAGCCTAATTCTTATGGCTTCTCCCCAACAGCCTGCCCTTGTCCTGTTGGTGGCTGTGCTCCGGCAGCTCTTGTCTTGTAGGCAGAAGCAATGTGGAAAGTGCCAGGAAAGATGGTTTTTCATTGAACA